AGATTAAAGTAGTGAAATTTTTTCTATCAATTAGCATGAGCAATTTTTATGGCGCCAAATTTTTGTTATTGGTGGGACCGTTTATAATGCATATTTACGTCAAATTAACGCACCTAAATTTTCAGAATACCATTGAAAAGTATCAATAAAATTGTCTTGTCTAATTTTCGATAATAATATTAGTACGATAAATTTTTAGAATATCGAATTTTGACGGTATCAATAGTGTAGCGAGTTTTTCAATTAGGACTGTCAGTATAAATTGTTTTAAATCTGCGTTTAACATCAACATCTATAAAAAATGATTTTATTAAATAATAAATTACTCTGTTTGAATATAATAAAAAGCTAAATTAATAAATTTTTTCTGAAATAGCACGTGCAATTTTTATGGCGCCAAATTTCTGTTATTGACGGGACCATTTGTATAATATATTTTTACATCATGTTAACAGTTAAATTTCCAAAATATCATTGAAAGTTTATATTAATAAGTTTTCTCTTATCTAATATTCGATGATAATAACATGAGAAGTTTTTAAACCAGTAAGTTTTTGCTAATATCAATAATGTAACGGCGGTTTTCAATCAAGATTGCCAGCATAAATAATCTTAAAATTGTGTCTGGCGCTAGCATCCATGAAACACAATTTTTTTAAATAATAAAACATCAATATTTTAATAATATGCTAAAAGGCTAAAATAGATTTTCTACGAAATAACAAAAGCAATTTTTATGGCGCCAAATTTTTGTTATTAGCGGACCGTTTGTATATTTACGTCAGATTAACGTCTAAATTTCCACAGGATAAATCGCTTATTAATGGAATATGATTGGCTCTTACTTCTAGAACTAATAAATAAATATTAAGGTTCAGCGGAAACTTTAGTGACGTTGCTAAACTGAATGTGACCATTGCTACATTTTATGGCTTCTGCATACAGAAACATTCATCGTGCGAAAATATTAAATGCAGTTTTTTTAGAGTTCAAAGATTTTAAAGTTTAAGATAATAATCTCTATAAAACAATTTTTGTATAGCAATAATATTTCAGATTTATTTTACTAATTTAAAGCATAATATATGTATGGTCCCGAAAATATCCATATAATTACAGCATGTGTCCCGAAAATATACATATTACATTATGGTTATTATAAAATTTAAATATTCGAAAAAAAAATCTGTTTTATACACTAAGGACAACTCGAAAGGTTACATATATGAACATTTTAATCTGATAATATTCATATTATTGATAAAATAGGATAATTTTAGTTTTTATTACATTTTACTTTTTTCATGGATAAAGTGTATAATACCAGGTCGGACCTGGAAATATACATTATATTGAAAAAAGATCCAGGTCCGACCTGGCAATAGCCAAAGGTCCTGGAACTATACAGTATATTATCTGAAAAGTCCTTGCAACATCCCTTAAACATATATATATATATATATATATATATATATATATATAGTAGTATATA